GGGAGAGGCGTGGGGGCCCCCCCCCAAAAAATTTGGGGGGGGGGGGGGGGGGTCTTTGACACGCGCATGAAGCTGACATGCTCGCATTGATGCTCAAGTTATAGTCTTCGCATCTTTGCATTGCATTCCTTTATCTTTCACTGATTTTAAACGTTCTGTTTGGAAAGATAAATAGAGAATAAAGAGTTTAATAGGGTGGTATATTGCATATTTACTCACTTAATGGAAACAGTATTATAGAATAATCAGAAACGTGGCTTGCTGTGCTTTTAAGGTGTCATGTTTAATTTTTTCATAAGAGAAAAGCAGTATAAGCTTAGGGTTTATGATTGGTCATAAATCAAAGCTTTCTAGAGTGTGCTCTAGAGATCAATGACTCAGCTGGTGGGTTGTGACATTAAAACGGGTCATGGATCTGTTCTGATTGGGTTGTGGATGGGAGCAAAAATAATACAGTGCAACTAAGCATATAGCTATGCAAAAGTAGGTAGATTTTAAAATGTGATAATGAAACAATCTCCAAAATTTGAGTTGATCAAATCATAGTTTCAGATATAGACCATTTCTAAAGGTGCAGTTTTGTAAGGAACTTACAAAAATAGTGATACAAAATTATTAACAGGCAGCCAAATATGAATCGAACGTGTGATATGAACTCAGCTACAAAAACTATGAACAAAACTATGCAAAAAAAAACTGCATTAAACACTTAATGATTGATTGACACTTGATGCCCAATTTAAAATTTGAGTCCTGAAGCAAAACTGATAGAACAATCTGTATGCATCCGCCTAAGGCCTCAATGTTTCAAGATTGTGATGAAGAAAACCTCAAATTTTGAGGATGTTAGCTAGAAGTCTAATTCAAAATCCATCTATTTTCTGCAGTTCAAATACTCGCTACACATTTTATATGTCGGCTATTTGGAGAGGACAGTAAAGACTGGACAAACAAGGTCAAACAAGAACACCAAATTCACCAATCTTTCAAAACAGCATCTACACTGTAAAAAATGGCCGTGAATTTAACGGTAAAAGACTGTAAAAATGCTACAGTAAAAACCTGTTCTTATCAGTTTTGTATATTAGGGTTGTGTGTTACACCTAATGTTGTCAAATGAATGTTTATTGCATTATTTCAGTTTCATGTGTGTTACCATGATGGTGTTTAGCGTTTGTGTGAATGACACTGTGCACCTTCTATATATGTTATTATTTAAAAGCTGCTTGTGATGGGCTTTGGTTCATCATGTGACTTTCTCATCACCACCTGCATTTGGTGGTTATTACAAAGGTACAAAACAGATTTCAGTACTTCAATAGGTTGGTATATTAACATTATATCAGTTAATGAAATTACGGTATTTAACTGTAAATTTGAGTTAAATTGAGTTAAAAAACAGTTTACTGTACAGTGGAGTTCAAGTTTGTTACAACCATGAGGGTTAAACTGCCATGTTTGTGAGCCACAACCAGTCCTGATAGAGTAAATTGTACTCACCTAAAACGTCACAATTTCATGATTTTGAAAAGTAAACCTCAGGTTTTATGGATGTTAGCTAGAAATCTAATTCGAAATACCTATGTTCCACAGTTCAAATAATAGCAAAACATCTTATATGTTGACTATTTGGAGAGGACAGATGCTGGACAAACACATTTTCTTTATGACAACTTCATTAAACTTTCAGAAGAGCATCTACAGTGAAGTTAGTGTTTGTTATGAGGTTTAAGCTGTCATCTGCGAGTCAGGATTTTTCCTTTCAAAACCACCGCACACAGATTTACGACTGACAACGACAACGACTGACAATGACACAACAGCTAACCACCCATTCTCTCTTGGATTTTGTCATTTTCAGCAAAACTCTTTCCAACCGAAGGCTGCAACTTTCCAACTTTTTTCTGAAAGATTTTTTTTTCCATTGTGAAAATGTTACTTTGACCATGGTCCATGTTCAAGAGACAGAATATTTCAGTCACCTGTCATATCTAGAAATTCAGTGCCAAGAGGTTTCTGATGGAGTTCAGAAAAGACAGAATGTCTATTAAAATCTCAGTAAGTAGTGTCTGACACACTGTCTAAAAATGATCACAGGTAATCAAGAGAACTGAACATTTGGCTCTCGGGAATGTTCCAAATCTGAAAATCTGAGGGGAAAAAAAAGAGAAAAATCCCAAATACCCAGCAAGGAGCTCAAATTCAAATGCTTCTTTACTAGTAAGATATAGATGAATCTTTAGTGTTTTATGTTTGTTTCTGGATTTTAGTTTGCTTTACTTTCAACTCATACTTTTTTTTATTTCCCCAATGTACCATGTAGCATGACACAGGATATTGTGAGTGATGATGGACAGTACAGCTAAAAGTGTCCAAAGATCCATCATAATGACCCATGAATTCCACAATGAGCACAAACAAATATTCTTTGTCCAACAGTCACGGGACTTTCAGGCCAAAACATTCAAAAAGAAAGACACATTTATATTTGGTATGGGAATACAGCCATGCTCTTTGAGCACTCCTTTGCCCCTGTTATATCAACATGTCTTGGATGCACGTCAAGGGAACCTGTCACTTCCTGTTATGAAAGACAGCAAGGCCAGATGCTCGCAGACAAACACTGAACTGCAGATCACAGACCTCTATAACATCTCAGACGATATCCAGACACCTCAGTTAACTCTTTTAGCTTTAAAGGCATGTAAAAAAACAAAAAAAACAAAGCAGACTAAAGAGAGAGATATCAAGAGAACGTGATAGATCAGAAGATACCAAATGTTTCCCTTTAGGAGGAAAGGTTACCATCTCATTAAGTAGGCCGATCACTTTACCTGTCATCTTTATCCAACCAGAGTTTCTGTTAAAAGTTTGGCTGACTGTAACTTTTTTTCCTATTTTCAAAGGAAGAAGATGAATCAAGACTAAAAGATAATGAAAGACTCCTCTTAATCCATTCATATTCCACCCACAGCTCTCTGCAGCCACATACAAATGGATAGATTTGTGCATATATCTGTTTGGAGTAGATAAAGAGGGAGGGGTTATAATTCGTACCGTCACCTCAGGAGCCAGCCATCATCTCTCAACCCCCCTCTCTCTCCCTTTTTTTCTGTCCAGTTGTGAAAAATGAGGCTAGGAATTGTTGTGACGTCCTGAGGAATTGCTTTCTCAAGACAATGTTGCAGAATTGTTGTGCTATATCTCTTTATCAAAGGATCCGGGCTGGAAATATCATTACGGTCGCTGTGGATTTGTCTATAACGCATATGTTAAAAAGGTGTGCGGCGGGGAAGAAAAACGTTCCAGTGTCTTGGATTGTCATGGTGGCGATGAAGAGACAGCTTCCTGCAATTTTACGTGAAAAATTAAGAACTGCAAAATGAAGCCATATGAGAACGATTAAAATGTCAAGACATGAGCAAAACGTTTTAAGATAACGTATCTCCACTTCGGGAGTGAATACTCATGGAATAAATCTCCTGATTCAATATTCCACACCTGAGACTATACTTCTCCTAGAAATAAAAAGTTCAAAATGAAAAAAAGACATTTCCTTGAATGTTTCCTCGTTTTTCCTTCTCAGCGACTAACAAATCAACAGTTTAGATTGGAATATCGTGTTCAGACAAACTCAAGAGACATTTACTGCATTTGTACTGAGAATTATGCAATTTATACAACAATATAAACTATATATATACACAGTATATATATATATATAAGGCATTTGCAAAGGTTAACATGAGTGATTACTCTGAAAAAAATTGGCACAAATGGAGCTCTTTCTTTTTGGGGGGCTTATCTTGACATCCTGTTATCTTGAGGTCTTTTTATCTTGTCTTGAAAGGGGAGGGATGAAAATGTCTTCTGGTATTGAATGGGAGTTAGAGTGCCGGAAAATATTCTTTATGGGAAACAATCCGCTCTTCCCCTCTCTACAAAGAGAAAAGAGCACAGAGTGTTAGTGCGGAGGGCAAATGCAACAACAATTATGAAAATGGCAAAGAGGCAGTGATGCATAATGTCAAATAATAAAACCAGAAAATAAACAAAACTGAAAGGAGTAAAGGAAGTGTTTACAAGTCTATAAAGTGATGAAAAATTAGGTCAGGTTAGTACTTACCTCAAAGAAAGCTGCATCATATAGCTGCATAGTCTCAAGCTATATTGCCTTCTGAGAGCTGGAGGTTTGCTGACATAAAAGCAAATAAGATTTTTATGCTTATTTGTTTGTTATTAGGTCTTTGTGTAAAAAATACTTGTGTAAAAAAATGAATTTATTCTTATCATGTCTTCTTTTTGAAAAACCAGGGACGACTGCATAAGCGAGCATCTGCCAAACAAATACTCAAGGTCTTCTATCAATGCATTACAACATTGATTAACATTCTCCAACAATGAGTTAACAAGTCTATGATCTCTTCCTTCGTGTTCATTTAAAACAACAGGTGAATTAATTTTATTTACTCTCATAATGGTTTTGCATTCTTTCTGCTCACTGTGTGAAACAGTGAGTTGAGGTCATTGAGAAATAGATAATGAAATCAATGTCCTGTTGAAGAAACGCCACTGATCTCCAGAGAGCTGAACCTTAACCAAACAAGTAAATGAAAATGTCTATCGGCATGTCGCCCAATTATTCAGACTGATTAAATAAATTTGCCGTAACAAAAACAAGGGCACACTGCAACACAATGCAATGTGTGTTTTTTTAAACACATGCCAGCCACGTTCATGTTTTCTGTACTATACATGGACCTTCTAGTTCTACTGCCCAACAAAATTAAAATATGCCAGCTGGACTGAATCCACACATTCATTTGCACACTGACCTCATGATCTGGATGTATGGTCCTCCTGAGGATGTAATTACAAACAATGGACACTAGGTGAGGCAAAAGCCTCCTTC